TTACATTGCAAAAGCAATTTGAGAATCAAGAATTAAAGGAACCTCGCGTGCTGGCGTCTTTCTGGTTCAGCACATCACGACACGCACGCGCGACACGTCGTGGTGAGGGTGTAAGCCAACTCTTAATTTTTTATAACACCAAATCGAACTCGTTTGGGCCACCACTACTCTACCGCTTCGATGCTCAAAGTCTCTAGACTCTGTCCTTTCGCCATGATGTAGTCCACTTTCATTATCATGTTTGTTGTAAATCCAAACAGTTTTATTAGTTCAGTTCCTTTTCCATTTCTGTTGTAATTTTTCAAGCAATCTTAAGGTAGTATTGGTGAAATTCGTACACAGAACTGCAGCTTGCGATGACAACATAAAAGTTCTGAAGCTCCGGTCCAAACTCCTGTTTAAATGAATCTGTGAATGAGAAAGAATCTTATGTACTCTGCCACTCTTTGCTTTATTCCTAGGGTTTGCTTTTAAAAAAAGCTGCTGTGTTGTGTGATTGACCTTTAATGCATGCTTACTACTCTAGGTACATTTGAGCTTAACCTTGTTCTGGTGTGTCATGTGTGCATTCTATTATTACTTATTAGTGCATAATGAGTAAGTGCAAACTGCAAAGATGAAAGGATAGAAAATGGCTATGTATAGTTACATTTAAAATTTGATTACAAGGTTGAGTATTCTGTACCTCATTCAACTAATTGGTCTACCCCAAAACCCAAAAGACAAAACACATTCAAAATTCAAAAAATAAAAGTACAAAATACTTGAGCATCAACCCTTGTTTAAGTTTAAAAATAAAAAAACCCACATGTTTAAGTTCCCTTTCACTCTTGAAGATTGAAATCATATTCATTTTCATCTTCAAGCATGAACTCGACCATTCTGTGTTCGTCTCCTTCTACATCTTCTATTCCTTGAGTTCTCTATTGCCTTAGTATTTCCTGCGTCCGTTCAAATACACCTTCCTCTAGGTGTATGGCACAAAGAAGATTTCCTTCTCTGATGAGTTTATCCTTTGCCATGCGAGGGACTTTTTAATTGTTCCCTCCTACTTTCAGCACTTCTTGCATACAAAAATTGTAACTCAACCACACTTTGTTAAGAGTTTGAGGATCCTATTTGCAAGGTACTGGACTACCCCCTCCCCTTCTATACTACTGGTTCATAATCTAACGCTTGTTCTAATGATCATGTAGTGGGCCATTTTGTTCTGGTCCAAACTCTGTACATCATGCCATGTTATGATAAGCTATACTATCGCACACCAAGAGAAGATGGTGGGGTAGAGAGAAAGACATCTATAACATTTATCTTATTGTCCTTGGTTGATTCCGGTGTGGAGGGGATGTCATCCTTCCCCCGTAGACCAAAAACTAGTGCATGCAGGTAATTTTATGTCGCCTCGCTCTTCACTTTCAATGCAATGGATTTTCATTATGTTGTCTGCACTCGGTGTGGGTTGTTGGGTTCGTTTCACTTTATGATACCGATGCACACATGTTGGTTAGGTTCTAATCTTTTCAGGTAAGTAGTGTAATGTGAACTCCCATTGTGCCTAAGAATGACGAGATATTAAGAGACATCTTGGATAATGAGGTTAGATTTGGTATCGTTAACCGGGATGAAATGAGGTTTGCTTAGCTTCTCCTCTATGTTGTCTGTCTTCTTTCTTGCAAACCAACCAATTAGGCTCTCTTATAAAAGGATAATGCCTTCCCCAACTCCTTTTACGTCTTACTTCAGCTGAGCCTGGTCCATCTAGATTTGATTGGGTTGGATTCTCCTAACCCACTCTACTCTTTTTTTCTCAAACTATTGCCTTAGGTCACATGAAGCAAAAGTGAGTTCGAGTGTGAATGTAAGCGTGGGGGTGCGAAAGCGCTAAAAAAAGACGAGTGTGAGTGTGCCCTAAAGCATCAATTTATAAAATAAAAAAGTATGTGTCTATAGGTGTATTTCAAAATTACTTAGTCTTTTAATAATGTTCATTTTGAACAATATATATATTATGCACAATTTCCTTCTGGAACTCTAAATTTGTATTTTTAATAAAAATTTGTTAACTTAAAAATTTGATCGTGCAAAATTTAAAAATAAAACATACGGAGTATGTCAAAATTTAAAAATAAAACATACGAACCCTATGGTGAATTACTGGGTTTGATGAATCTTGAACTGGCTCTCTATTGATCATTGCTTGTATCCCTGCTGAACACGCTGAAAAATTCTGATCATGCTTGATATCTATGGTTACTGCCTATGATTTTGTATCTGTTATTGACCAAGCCCATGGGTTATTGGAAACTTGGATGCTGCTGGAATCTGTTGAATGCTACTTGAATCCTGAAGATTATGGAATGTGCTGCTGTTGTGTAATGAGACCAATGAATTTCACTGTGGTTTTCAGTTATGCTCTTGATGCTGTACTAGTTTGTCTCCATGGATGGTACTGACCCTTGTTTACCACCTGTTGCTGATGGAAGTGCTACTGTCATATCCTTTTCATGGAGCTGCTGATGATGGACCTGTTGCTGGACCTGCTAGTGGACATACTGCTGCTGATGGACTTCCCAATGACGTTGCCTCTTGAATAATCACTGTTTGTTCGAACAAGTACATCATGTCATGTGCTTAACCCTGAAAATTGCTACTGCTACACATACCCACTGCAAATTGCTCACAGTTGATGACTCTGTTATATGAACCTGGAAGATTGCTAATGGTGGCATCCCTTGCACTGCACCCCATTGATGTGTCTGGTATTCTGAATCATGCCATGAATTGTGCCCTGATGAACTGATTGCCGCCTAGTTAAGATGACCTGAAAACCATTGGATCCTTGAATGGATTGGAAGAATCTGTTCGTTGTTTTTCTGTTTACGTTTCTGTTTGTAATGCGGTTTTTGAATTGTAATGTCTCTACATTCGTAATGGTACCAGTTTAGCTCAGTGGGTTGTAATTGTTTCTTATGCATGTAACTATTTCATGACTACGCATTTGACGTTGTTGTACTTGTTCGATTGGGTAATAATAATTTACATTTTACCCTTGAAAATATAAATGAATCTTAAAAAGGGACGATATGATTGTTGCCAACAAAACCTGGAGTTTCAGTAATAATAAGATATATGAACACAGGGCAGGGAAGAACTGCTCGGAAATTTGATTGGAGAAGAGTGGCTTAGATTCTTGCCCACAATTGAGGCCAAAGTAAGCTGAACAGAAGTCATCTGTCAAACAGCAACAATTTCAATTTTCAGGGAATAATTCTTCATTCCTTAGATTTTCAGGGAATAATAACCACACTATTTTCCATGTCGTGCTCTGCATGGACCTGTATATATTCGCGTATAATATTTTTATGCACGGATTATTTTTTTAGTTTATTCTATACGGAGTAATACCCAAAAAATGTTTTAAAAAATTTTTAAAATTAAATAGGAGTAAATTCCATAATTAGTCCTTTATAACAAGGGGGTTTCCATATTTAGTCTTCTATTATTAAATATTACCCCCGTAGTCCTTTTTTTAAGGGTACCTTTCCACAAATGGTCCTTTTTTGATCTTTTGTCATGTTGGTGTTAATTTAAATGATAAAAGTATAATTTGACGTCAACATTATGTCTAGTGACGTGTTCTGATATTGGTTAAGCGGATAACACAAAAATAATGACTATGATTGTGGGCTAGGATTCTGACGAAAGATCACATTTGTAGACTATAGTTGCCGTAAAAAGCGACTGTAATTTACAAACGACGCAAACGGAACAGCCTTTGGAATTGTGTATGACAAAAAAGATATATTATCATTGTGAAATTATACTTTTAGCCCTCAAATTAACACCAACATGATAGAAGATCAAAAAAAGGACTATTTGTGGAAAGGTACACATAAAAGAAGGACCACCTGTGTAATATTTGATAATAGAGGAATAAATAGGGAAACCCCTCTATTATAAAGGACCAATTATAAAATTTACTTTTAAAATAGATATATTGTTTTATATGTATATCTAAATATTTGCATTATTATTATTATTATTATTATTATTATATAATGTAAATTTTTAATAGATTTATATATGAGTCATGTTAGTTTTTATGTGCATAGTAAATTATTTTAAAGATTAGGACCTGTTATGCTGTTTTTAGATTTGTTTTTATTTGAGAATTAGGACCAGCTACAAATTATTACCTGTATATAGTTTCAATTTCAAATGTACCAATACAAAATCACAAAATGAAAAGCTGGGTTACAGTAAACTTAATTTCAAGTCCTCCTGAGAGAGTATCGCTTTTACATTACATTATTAAAAAAATTTGGGTTATGCTACACTTACACTACAAATTGTACGTCATTTGTACCCTGAAATTATATACAAACATTTTGATAGTTTACATCGACACAAGTGTTAATGCGTTAACAAAAATTTACATGGATACAATCTTAAAAACTATTTATGCTATTAATTTAATTTTAAATGAAAATGAACCTTAAGTTATTTAAGAATGCGTATTGTTTTATTTTCAGAATAAATGTTATACTATTTGTAGATGAATATTATAATTATATTGAATCAATATATGAAAATGAGTACTGAATCATTTTAGAATGAATACCACAATAATTATATTTGTGCGAAAATGAAAACTATTCTACTTCAAAATAAAATATTTCCTTTGTCCCTAAATGGATTACAATTTTTTTCTCTCTACTCTCGATAACTTTTGTTTGTTTACGCGATTTCATTATGTAGTTAATAAAATAAAATATTCTTGTCAACTCTCATTTTATAGATCTTTTCACGTAATTTTTTAATATGTAATTTTTATATCTTAATGATATACCAATTTGTAAATAAAATGATTTTAAAAAATAGGAAATTTTAATCTGTAACCTGGAATTTGTATTCAAATTTGGAAAGGAGGAAGTCAGTAAAGATGTACTTGTATACGTCCTCTCTCTATATATAAGAGATAAATAGTGATTGCAACAGCAAATTACCTCCGCCTCCTTGCTCTCCCCTCCTCCAGATCTGAAAGAGTCTGACTCATCACTAAGAATCAAGCATCGTCTCCGGCGGATTTGAATGAGCACGCCTCATCTATGTCGCGTCTGAACCGAAAATAGCAGGACACCGCCGGTCGGTGGTGTTCGGGCTGGGATTTATCGTTGTTTGAGGGGAGCATCGCCGGATCCCTTTGTGGTTGCCGTGTAGCAAGCATAAATTAAGACCAGAGCCTACGGAAGACTGGAAGAGCGAGGTGTCGCCCAGATTCCCCATCCCTGTCGCCCACCCCATTCTGGCGGTTCGGCTCTTTCGTCCACCAGAGAAGAACATGTATGTTTCCGGCGTGCTCCCTCTGCTTCTAACGCATCGTTTCAGATTCGTACTCCAGGCCTAGCCGCTAACTCCCTCCATTCCTTCCCCAAATCAGGCATCGCCGGAGTTTTGGAGACCTCGCCGGAGCATCCGAGGGTTCAGATCCGGACGCAGGACGCCGGATAAAGGGAGGTAATTCTGTAAACCTCTTTTCTACGGTTCTACTCTAGATTAAATCTGTACGTGATTCCACTCAAAAAAAAATCTGGGTAACCCTAGTTTCTACAATTTTACTGTTTTTACGGAACTTAACATGAAATGAAAAAAACGGATGAGAGCTAATCAATAATAAATTGCTTGTCACAATAGTGATAAAAATTTTTATTTGCAAAATTTAGGCTCATAAGCAGACTCTAGTTTTTCATTGCTCATTTGCAGATCGTTATTTCTCTTATGCAAAATTTTGAAATAGATTTATTAAGTTTTGAAATCTTTAAGGGTATGTTTGGTACACAGAATTGATAAAATTGGAATTGAATTAAAAGTAAATATTTTATGGAATTGAATTTTCCAATTTCAATTCATCTTATGTATTACAAATTCTAAATCTACATATTTTTGTGCTATCAAATAGCAAATTTGGAAGTATTGTCTCTAACTCTAATTCCATGGTTCGAATTCCGTGTACCAAACAGAGCCTAAGTTTTTTGGTACATTGTTGTTGGTAAAAAATGATTTTATTGCATTACTATTTTATTGCATTACTTTTTTGGTATGGCTGGGACGTTCCACCAATTCCGGGAACCGGTACCGGTACCATCTCCTCCGGTACCGGTTCCGGTACCCATCTCCCCATTTTTCTGTATCGGCACCGGCAGTTCCGGTTCCGGTACCGTTATTAAATTTATTCTATTTTTATTTTTTATTTCATTCTTTCCTTTATCCATTTCATTTTTAGATTTTTTTATTTCATTCTTTCCTTTAACAATTGCACATTTACAATTTTAAACTTTAAAAATTTATTAAAAAAGCAAAAAAAAAAAGAAAATTGGGGGTGGTCGAAACAGGCTGGTCCGGGAACCGGAACCAGTACCGGCTGGTCCGATACCGGAACCGCCGGTCCGATACCGGAACCGGTACCGGCCGGTCCGGTACTGGTACCAAGGGGTGGCGGTACCGGAACCGTACAATGTCCACCCCTACATGAAACTACTATTTTAGTACTTTCTTTACTTTTTACTTATATTAAACGTGATTTCTTCTTTAAATATAACTAAAATCAAATATAATCAAATCAAATTAAACCATATCATATTTTTTTAAAATTAAATCACATCAAATTAGTGGAAAGTACAGCAGCTTAACTTCGTCCTCTACCATCTTACTTTCCCTGTACATGACATCTACTTTTCTCACCTTTTTAGTACACAGTCTCCTACTTTCACCCCTCACATTTACTTTCCAGTTTTAAATTGTTTGCCACTTTTTCAAATGATGTGCATAAATAAATATTAAAAATAACTCCTCCACATTTCTCAGTTTTTAAACTTTGACGGTATATTATTGAAAAAATATATTGAATTTTCATATTTCTCTGTATCAAATTTGATCACAAATTAGGGTTTACAAGGAAAAATATCTCACTTTTTGAAATCAATTTATTTACAAATTGTTATATTGAGAAGAAATAAAAATTATATATTAAAAAAACCGCGTCAAAAGTTCCGCAAAACAAGAGGTAGCAAAAATATTTTATGTTATCAAATAATTAATGAAACCGCATAAAGAAACAAAAATTATCGATAAAAAAGAAAACAAATTGTAATCAAATTGGGTACATAGGGAGTATAAATTTATTATAATTAGATTCATATTGAAACATAATTTTGAATAATTTTGAAATATATTGTTTTTATAATATATATATAATATAAATTTATATAAAATAGAGATTTGATGGTCAAAATTTCGCATTACAAACCGTTAAAAGTCAAATAAGAAATTAATTTTACGAGCGAGAGAGTACATTGTTAAAAAGCATATGAAAAAGGCAAATTATATTATACAGTTCGGTTGTACCCATTTTTGGATACAATCAAAAAACCTATTTATTCTATGAATTTTATTTTAAATGAAAATGAACACTAAGTTATTTGAAAATGCATATTGTTTTGTTTTTAGGATAAATATTACACTATTTGTAGATGAATATTATAATTATATTGAACCAATGTGTAAAAATAAATACTACATTGTTTTAGAATGAGTACCACAATAATTATATTTGTGTGAAAATGAGTACTATTCTACTCCAAAATAAAATACTTCCTCCGTCCCTGAGTATTTGTCCACTTTCATTTTTGCACACTATCTAGTGCACTTCTTTAATCTATTTTATCTTGTAATTTGTATATTAAAAAATTATAAAAATTATATATTAATAATCTATATGTTAAGATGAAACAAATAAGATCACACATGACTATTTTTAGGCTTACACATTGAGAGAAATTGATGAGTCAAATTGCTTAGATGAACAGTTCCAAAAGTCAAAAGTGGACAAACACTCAGGGACGGACCAAGTAAGTACTTTCACGATCTACTTGTATCCCTCCTCTCTATATATAAGAGATAAATAGTGATTGCAACAACTAATTACCTCTGCCTCCTTGCTGTTACCTCCAGATCTGAAGGAGTCTGCCTCATCACTACCAGATCTGAAGAATCGAGCATTGTCTCCGGTGGATATGAATTAGCACGCCTCATCTATGTCGCGTCTGAACCGAAAATAGCAGGACACAGCTGGACGGTGGTGTTCGGGCGGGGATTTATCGTTGACCTAGGGGAGCATTGCCAGATCCCTTTGTGGTTGCCGTGTAGCAAGCATAAATTAAGACCAGAGCCTACGGAAGACTGGAAGAGCGAGGTGTCGCCCAGATTCCCCATCGCTGTCGCCCACCCCCATTCCGGCGGTTCGGCTCTTTCGTCCACCAGAGAAGAACAGGTATGTTTCCGGCGTCCTCCCTCTGCTTCTAACGCATCGTTTTAGATTCGTACTCCAGGCCTAGTCGCTAACTCCCTCCATCCTTCCCTAAATCAGGCGTCGCCGGAGTTTTGGAGACCTCGCCGGAGCATCCAAGGATTCAGATTCGGACGCAGGACGCTGGATAAAGGGAGGTAAGTCTGTAAACCTCTTTTCTACGGTTCTACTCTAAATTAAATCTGTACGTGATTCCACTAAAAAAAATCTGGGTAACCTTAGTTTCTACAATTTTACTGTTTTTACGGAACTTAACATGAAATGAAAAAAACGGTTGAGAACTAATCAATAATGAATTGCTTGTCAAAATAGTGATAAAAATTTTTATTTGCAAAACCGAGGCTCGTAAGAAAACTCTTGTTTTTCATTGCTCATTTGCACATTGTTATTTCTCTTATGCAAAATTTTGAAATAGATTTACCAAGTTTTGAAATCTTTAAGGGTATGTTTGGTACACAGAATCGATAAAATTGGAATTGAATGGCGATTAAATATTTTATGAAATTGATTTGGATGAAATTGAGTTCTCCAATTTCAATTCATATTAGGTATTACAATTTCTAAATTCACATATTTTTGTGCTACTAAACAGTGGAATTATTGTCTCTAACTCTAATTCCATGGTTTGAATTCCATGTACCAAACAGAGCTTAAGTTTTTTGGTACATTGTTGTTGGTCAAAAGTGATTTTATTGTATTATTATTTTGAATTCTTTTCATTTTTTCATGTTTCCCAATTAAAATGTGTTACTTTCTCTGCTTAGTCAATACAGGTATGGATGCAGTAAAAATTACAAGATAACGATTAATACAGGAGTAAAAAGTATTGAAAGCATAGTTTAAAAAACCGGATCGGCTGGTTCGGATCACTGAACCGATCTTGTCCGATCTTGTCCGGGCAATCAGACCGACTTCTGCAATGAACCAGTGTAAACCGGCTAATATATATATATATATATATATATATATATATATATATATATATATATATATATATATATATATATATAGGGATTGACTCCAGTGAGATGACACCTTATGGTAAGATGACATGCTTCAATGAGATGACACAACACACAACACTGCCAATGGAAAGCTCACCAACTGCCAATGCAAAGCTCACCAACTACCAATGCAAAGCTCACCAACTGTCAATGCAAAGCTCACCACTTTTTTT